TCTTCATAGTGTTTTAAGAGCAAAGATGTCAGTTTGAAGACTAAAGTACGCTTGACCCATGCCATGGTATTTTCAATAGCCTCATATGCATGTGAAAGTTGGACAATGAATAAGGAAGACCGTAGAAGAATATTGAAAGTACCATGGACTACAAATCTGTGTTGGAGGAAATAGTCAAAGTGCTCTTTAGAAGCCAGGATGGTAAGACTTCATTTCTCATACTTCAGACATGTTATCAGGAGGGATCAGTTCCTGGAGAAGAACTTCATGCTTGGGGAAGTGGAGGGTCAGGGAAAAAGAGGAAGATACCCAATGAGATGGATTGATGCCATGGCACTAACAATGGGCTCAAACATAATGAACATGGCTGTATATATATCTAATTGTGTCATGGCTCTTATTTCTTGAGAATATATACCAAGTAGAAGGACTCCTGGGTCATATGGTATTGTCATTTCCAACTTTTTGAGAAAGCATCATAATGTTTTTCACAGTGGTTACCAGTCTGGTCTTAAATCAGTTTTGTTTTGTTCTACGACGTTTTTACTCCCATTTTAACTGGGGCCTTGCATTGTGTCCATAGTGGTAGCTGGGCATGAACTAGTTCTAGTCTCAAGTTAGAAGAGGCTGTGGTTTGCATAGTCATTAATTCTGTGGACTGATTTCTTCATTGAGTCTTTGGTTTCCTTCACTCTCTGCTACAGACAGGAAGAAACCAATAGTATATATTTTTTAGATCTATACGTGCTAGCTTTTAAGATCCTTGATGCTACTCAGCCAACTAGAATATAGAATATTATCTTTATGAAGTAAGTTAGGCTAGTTGACTTAGTTAGCCGAGACTATTGAGTCTTCAAACCCATGAGTTTTTTTGCATGTTATGGCATTACAGAATAATACATTGGACTGCAAGGTCAGTTTGAAGTACAAGGTTTGGAGGTTCAACGTCACCAGCTGCTCCTTGGAAACCCTTTACTCGATGGCTGAGTCAGAACTGACTCAATGGCACCTATGTACTTTATTGTATATATGCAGCACTTTTAGATGTATGCCTACAAATATACCTGTATATGCACTTGTATTCCCATATGCTTTCCCATACCCATACAGCACTTATATTTACCTATGTAACCATTCACATTTTGCCTATTTCTGTTGTAGCTAATTGTTAAGTGCCATTGAATTGGTTCCGACTCATAGCACCCTGTATAGGGTTTCCAAGGAACAGCTGGTGGGTTTGAACTGTCAACCTTGTTTCAGTCTGGTCATGATCCTGCAGTGCAACACTAGGAGTAGTATATATGTTATTATTCCTTGTAAGACAAGGTTGTAAATCTTTATGGGAGCAGTCTCATCTTTCTCCTGCAAAGGCTGGTGGGTTTGAACCACTGACCTTGCAGCTGGCAGCCAATGCTTACCTGTGTGGCCAGAGCTCCTTAGTATTGTTGCTGTATTCTATTCTTCCATGGCGTTTACTGAGCTAATCTTTAAACTAAAACTATCCCTTTAAGTTATCTTTAAACCAAACAGTGGTTTACCTTAAAAAGTACAGAGTATCTGCGTTGAGCATCCTGCTTTTTTAAGTGGTGGTAGAATTGAAAAAGGATAGTGATATTAGTTGTACAACTTAAAGAATCACTGTAACTGAATTAAGTAGAAAATGTTGAATTGGCATGTTTTGTTGTGTCCATTTTTTACCAAAGTTAAATTCACCAAAAAAAAAAAAAAAAGTAAATCTTAAATTTGAGTTCTTTTTTGATTAAGTTTTAACTTTTTGGCCAAGGTCAGTTTCATTTTACAAAACCCAGTAAAATTTATGTATACAAGATTGCAAACAATTTCAAAGAGTACATGAATTGATACTAGTTAAGAAAATTGGATTTACAAAAAGTGGCAATGCCATTACCCATATGGAAATAGACAAGTGCAAGGTTCATAAATACCACATAAAATAATTTGATTGGCATTCTTAAAAAATAAGATAACTATTAACCATCATTTCACTTAAATCATGTGATACAAAAAAGAAAAAGGCAAGACAAAGTACAACTTTTACCCATTATGATTTATTCTCTAGAATACTTTGTTAGAGTTCAATGATTTGCACTCAGAAGTTATATAGCCAAGAGGCAATCAAGTGTAATACAAAGAATTGGTCTGAAGTCTTTGTACTGAAGGCCAAAGTCTCTTGCTTCAGGAAGTAAGATGGAAAAGAAACAAAATAACACATAGCTTCCTAGGTTCCAGAATTGCAGTAGAAAATAACATCAACAGTTAGTGTAATTGTAGATGTTAACATATGGAAAACAGATCTTGTGCAAATATTAAAATTAACACCCAGAACTTCTGTATAGATATTATAAACAATAAAATATGTAATATCGCAACTACAAACCTTTCTTGTTGAAAGGGTCTCTAAGATGAGTTACTTTAATATTATGAAGAGAAAAAGTTTAAGAACCTCACAGTGGAAACAATCCAACCAATGACAGACTCTAGTGATCGAAGACATTCTCTTTTAATGTTAAAATGAGGACAATTCATAACTACAGATTACAGAGAATATGTCCTAGCTGTGCGTATTATGAGACAACCCAATTTTCCAGACCAAAAGGCACTCACAGCTAAGGATGACACAAACTCTGAACCAAGCCAGCTACATTGGGCTGGTTTCTTGAAATTGTTACCTAAGGTTCAGCTTAAGCAGCCCCAGGACAAAGGAAACACTAAGCAGAAAACATTCCTTTTCATTAAACCTACCTATCATACACCATGTTATCTGGCCACCCTCATCACTGGTTTGGTCAAGCAGGTGGAAGGCAGTTCAGTTCCAGTTCCGAGCTTCATCTCCCTACGCAAAGCTACAACATGGATGATCCAAACTTGGTATTTTTCCTGAGAGCCACCTGCCATACATGTTTATGAGGTGACCTGACCATATATTTCCAGACTGCTCCCTGACTAGACCTTGTTGAGGACTGACAGCACCATTCCTTACAGGGCCAAAGAGTTTTTGTTGGTGGAGTCCCATGTCCCCTTGGTAAGGCAAGAGGAACGAAAGCATTTACATTGCTGGACTTGTGTGGGAACATGAGGAAATGTGGGTGGAATAAGGCTTCTTCACTCCAAATATCAAGGCCCACTTCAGTGTGGTGCTGGCCTTAAACCAGCCCTATTCTCATGCACTGATTTCTCCCCCCGCCCCATTTCATGGGTTTCAATTTTTCCTTTCATTTTCTTCAATGGCAGGCATCCTACTCCACCCTCAATAAAATAAACAAATTATACATGGTGAAGACAAATAGGGTAACATTTATACAGGAAAAAAAGACTTGAAGAGCATGGCACTATAAATGCTTGCATGACCAGTCTCACTGAGCATGCTTGGGGTGAAAGTTTAGCACCAATTTTTTTTTTTTTTAAATCTTTAGAAATTAAACACAACTTTTAACGTAGAACACTTGAACATCAGTGAGTAGCCCTATGTACCAATACTGTTGTACAAATCAGAAGTGGATGGTTCAGGGCTGACCACCCCTTACATCAAGCCACAGTACAAGACTATTATTCTCAGCAGCAGGTAATCATGAAACAATCCCTTCATCTTCAAAGGGTTTTCATCTACATTGCAAGGGAAAGGTGGTAAGATGTAAGAACCCAACATTTAAGACAGGTGACATGGCACGGATTCCTGATGTCAGCTCCACAACCCCCTTGCACATTCTACATCCTCATGAACAGCAGAGGACAGTGCCACGCAAATCCACTTACTCTTTCTCTTACTTTCCCCAATAAACAAGACAATGATGCCTAGAATAGCATGATCCTATTTTTATATTGTGCCCCTACTTCCCAATGCCTGGCAGAAGGAAATTCAAAAGAGCTCTTATTTGCCCATTTTAGAAAGCCAAACTATCACCACATAAACTTTAAATATACTAAATCAAACCATTGTGTTCGCTGGGTTAATACCCAATCCAATTCACCAGTTCTCTAAGCATGTTATTGAAAACAAGTGTTAATATCCTTAGGCTTCTTTCTTCCAACTGGCTACCTCTTCCTGTGAATCATTTTAGCAGTGCCTCTGTTACAATGTTTCCAAAGCATCTTCAAAGTCCCCTCCCTAGTTCTATGAACCTTGCCACCAAATGAATGAATAGGCAAAAGGGAAGAAATACTTGCTGACAGATTATTTGGAAATCAGCAACAATGGGAAAGGAAGATGTCACAATTACTTTTGTTCTAGTACTGTAGGAACTCCCGTTTAAAGGTCCTTTAGAATGCTTGAAAAGAAAAACAGCTTGGAGACCCTGAATTCTCTCCTATGACAATGTGCCCTTAGAAAGCCCAATCCAGCGCTTGACTGAATAGCTATGCTGAGAACCTAGATCCAGCTATCGGCACTGCTACCAGTGCAGGAGTGAGGTAGCCTGGTGGTAAGGAAGAGATCTCTCCTTTCACCTATGTGTGCAGTGATGACATCAGGCCCTCCTGTGGGCATTTCCATTTCATTCCTCAGCAGGCTACACCACAGAGTTCTGTTTAATACCAGTAGACTCATTGCAGAAAGAATGCCAGAAAATCCAACTGATAGTAGGATGAGATTTAAAACCATCAAGGCTTATTGAGCAACGACGAGACCTTCAATGCCATCCAAAGGGCTTTTGATCTTTATGTGGGTCTCTGTTCAGGAGCCTCAAAGGACTCACGGTGCCCACGCTCAACCCTACCATGATGTCTGGTTATGAAGCATGGAGATTGTGATCAACTCTTGGTATGCAACAAACTGGAAGTTTTTTTAAAAAAAGGAATTTAAAACAACCTAAAAATGTTTCTTGTTGGTCTCCGTTGCCCAGACTGCCAGGGGAACATACCTACTTGATACAGGGAGGTTGTTAGGGATGTGTGTGTAGGGTAAGCCTTCATGAATCTTCAATTCCAGCTTTCATTGTGTGGCCAACACACATGCAGCAAATCACCGATGGCACCTATATGTCACAGGTCCTCTGAACCCACATGGTAATTCTTACTAATTGTGGAGGAGCCCCAATCCAACTGAACCCCATAATGAGGAAAGGCTGAGATAAGGCTTGGGCCCCTCAAGTTCTGTTTCATTCAATGTAACCCCGCCATCCCTTCAATCAGCTGGAGGCAGACTTGGCAACGGAAGCTAGCATCATAAAATGGTGCAGTAATAGAAGTAACTGGACCAGGAAGAGGAGGCATCTGCTCCAATGATGTCATAGCCATTGGTGGCCACAGGGGGGTGGGACTGGTCATGCAGCCGTGTGTCAGGAGTAATGATTGTAGAGGGGCGGGGCATGAAGAGTGCCATTCTGGAAACAGTGCTGCCGAGAAGCAATATACTCTGCATAACTGATTGTCACCTTCTCACTTCGGTACCTGTATAAGGAAATAGGAAAGAGTATTAGGAATCCCAAACGATTCATTTTGTAGAGTCACTCAGCAGAGAAAACCAAAAGCTTAATCTATACTTTTGAAAGAATAAAATGGAAGACCAGGAGCAATCTTACTTACAGAAAATGAAAGATGGCACAAGAAAACAATGTTGTTATTACAAATGAAACAAGATGAAAAAGCACAATCACAATTCACACCTGAGAATGTATTTTCAGAACATCCCACCTTTAAACATTACATATATCAGGCTGCTCGAAAGCAATCTGCTATTGGGGTCTGGATAAAGAATTTCAATGTTGAATTACAAGGGTGGTATGTTGGAAGATGGCTGCACCAAAGCCCAGTTTAAACTGCATATTTATGTTCAGGTTAAAATATGACCAATTTGACAGAAACGCAACAATATATACCTTAATTTGAAGAAGAACATCAAATAACTTATTTACATCTAAAAGGGGCACAGATACCTAATTCTGGGTCAAATTCTGATGAAGCAGCTTAAGGAATCTTGGGGCTATATAAAACAGATCTCAATTCCCAAATGAGTATGTCATATCACAGGGGCCATCAGAACAAAATTCAGAGCACTTTGGCTTTGCTCTTAGATAGAGCCATGAGTCAGGATGCAAAGCATGGGGTGTTACAAACCTATGGAGCCTACTACAGACCACAGGAGCTGGGTGTGACAATCCTTACCCAGAGCCATCTCTTTCCCACTGTAATCACTCCTCCACTGCAAGGTGATTATTCCTGAATTTTGACAGGGAAATGGCTGTTCAAATAAATTATAATAATAATAGTAATAATAATGCTTTGTATTTGAAGTGTTCTTTCTTTTTCTCTTTTGGAATCCAAAGCATTTAAAAAAACACTGGGCTATCTTCCAAATAGATCTGTGAAGTTAGTATATGATTACCAGCATTTTACAGATGAGGAGGCCACAAAGGCCCACAAACAATAAGCCCTTCAGTATTTCCAAGGTCAATAGGGATGGGAAGAGAACTGACATCTAAAGACCACCTACAATGTTGCCTGTGAACCTGGGCTAGAAATTCTATTTACATTACCCTATCACAACCTAAAACAACCCTGAGGCATTATCCTTTGTTTTTACATGTCATATAGTAGTAAGTGGTAGAGCAGGGGTTCAAAACCCAAGTCCTGTGCATTCTATTATACTGGGCAGCCTCCCCATAGAAGTATTCACCTCAAATCAGTGGAGGCATGTCCTAACTTTTGGTAAAAAGCATTTCTGACTCTTTGTTAGCATACCCTGCCACCTGTCTGTTAGTGCTAGCTCAATTGACTAAATATTTAATACACTTAGAGTCTTCTCTCCTAACTTCTTACTTTGCCCTTAGCCCTCTAACCAAGTGGGCCCCACAAAACCTTTCACTTGCTCTGAAGTCCAAATCCTGCTCTAACTGTGGTATCAGTTTAGCTGTGGAGATGCACAGAGTGCTATGGGACAGTCTTTGTGTTTGCTGCCACTTCTTCACTTAAGAGCTTAAATCTTGCCCCTACTTCTTTAATTCAGGTACATTAGCAGAGAAATTTCTTTTCTTCCCTTTCCATCTGAAGTATCCTTCTAAGCCCAGTTAAAATGACAAAGAAAATGAGACAGTGGCTTACCTGGTGAGCTTGATCGTTTTTCTGAATTCACTTGTAATTGGAGCCTTAAAGCCACCTTTCCTGAGTAAGGAGTCTATGGTCTGAATCTGATCCCAGTCTGAGAGGAAAAGAAGCCACACAAAGGTCAGCACCTAATCATACAAGATTGGGACATGTTTTTATATGGCCAGTGTGAAGAGAGAGGAATGGAATTTGAGAATCCACCACATCTTTGTGGGCAGAGAAAGCCCTAGGCACTGGCCCACATGTACCTGGAGCCCTTGCCTTATAGTCCAGTGGAGTCTGAAACATGAGACTGACAGCCTAGCATATGTCATAACTGTTTATCCCCAGGATTCCTGCTCCTGCAATATTCTTGTCAGATGCTACCCAAGTGAAACTATTTACCAACAAACATGGCCCCAATTTACAAAGGCCAACTGGTCTAGTTGTGGTACCCAAGGCTTTTCTGTGGGAGGAAATGATTAGGATTCTTCTGCTTTATTCCTTTGTGTGGCTTTTGAGAAGAGTTTGATGATTTCTAGGAATTCTGTTTTTTTGTTTTAAATTAGACTTTAATGGCAAGAAAGAAGCTGTTTCTTTAGGAAGGGCAAGGAAGTTGTTCATATGCATATATACTGTAAAGCTTTCATATAGACTTGTATAATAATATCCAATAAATCAAATCAAAATTAATTTAAAAATTCTCCCTAGATTATTATACTTGGTGCCCCAAATCTTTGTCTCAACCAATTTTCAGATGGCAAAAGTTCATTTGTTATTTACCTAAGTTATCATCCAATCTCACTATTCACAAACACTTGGAGAAATGTGCTAGTGTTCTGACTTCAAAGAAGTGACTAATATCACTGTTTTTGAAGAAGTTTAAATATAATAAAAAACTGGAAACTAACATGGCAAGCACTTTCCATAAAATTAGTTCATTGATATACTTAACTGGTTATTTTCTCTATTCCAGGTTCACACCCAACCAACACTGTGTTTCACATATTATTTTCAAAAACAGACTAATTCCAAGAAAGAAAAAAAATTGGGTTACATGTCACAGAATGCACAACCAACACTTAAAGGTATTCTTCTAGATACAAAAGAAAGAACTAACTCTGCCCAACCCACTTCCTACCCTTAATGTCCCATTATGAGAATTTATTAACTATAAAAAATAACTATTCTTTTTTAGAAAACAGTAAGGATTACTTTTTGCCCTTTGCTAAGTGTAACACTGCTTAACAATGCATGATCAAAAGGTTCAAAACTCACTGAGATGGGCAACTTCCCTTTGTAATAAACTCTGTAGCATGGTCGAGCTGATTGATGGAATTTTTTTCCAATTACATGTGTAGTTTAGTGGGTCAAGAAATAAAGTGGCTGAGTGACAGTGTTTAAAACAAGCAGACAAATAAGAGAAGTCTTTATAATTCTTCTTTTCTCTGCTCCTAGATTCTCTTTTTGGAAATCTCCTTCCTTAAACCCATTCTATGAGAATTTGATAAACAACAAGATGAAGGAAGAAAGGCACTCATTCTTAATTGCAGTTGGACTGAAACATGACACACCTCACTTCCCTGTTCTTAATTGGTACAACTGTGAATGGTAGTGTTTATTAAAATCGCATCCACCCAACTCACCTTGTTCCTTAGCAACCTCAGGTAAATATGTGGCTGTACGTTTGATACCCTTTTCATTGATGAATTCAATTCGAATGCCATGGACCCCTACCTACAGAAAAACACAATGAATTAAAATGGCATTTACTTATTCTAATGGGACTTCAGTCATCCACACAAAACTGACATTGTCACTGCACCAGTATGACTTAGGTATTGGCAAATGAGGATCTCATTGTTTTTGGAGTAGAAGCCAAAGGCATTTCAGCCTTCAGTATGAATTTAGCTACCTTTCTGGAGTAGTGCTGTAGGATAAGCACTGGAATTCTAACCGCAAGACTGGCCGTTCAAGTGTACCAGTCTCTTCATTATCTAAACAGCTCATTAATTAATTTAAAATATTTTCTTTTAGCCTATCCCATTAAATGAACACATCACATTTTTATTTGGATTCATGACTCTTCAAATCTGACTTCTAAGAAAAATCAAGGGCTTTTTTCTTTACCCCCATTATTATTTCTTATTAGGTAGGAGGATGTGGGAAAGAGTAGATTGGGAAGAAATGGGAGAATAACTGCTAAAATTTTTTTCTCACTCCTAACACTGTTGGTTCCAACTCATAGTGCCATCAAGTTGGTCCCAACTCATAGTGATCTTGTATAGGGTTTTAAAGGAGCAGCTGGTAGACTTGAGCTGCCAACCCTGTGGTTCACAGTCTAGTACTGATCCTATAGCTTCACACCAGGGATCCATTCCTAATAGAACAGCACCTTTTCTGTCACCTATGGTCCCACAATTAACTCCAACCTCAGCTTCCATATTCTTATACCCTCCTCTCAATGAAGAAGATACATTACCATGTACTAACCCGAACCCAAATGCAACGAGAGATGCAGAGTTCCAAATGAAGCTGTTCTCACCTCCCAGTCCAGATAATCACCAGCATCCTCAAAGTTAGTAAGGAGGGAGACAGAGCAGAAAAGTTTAGGCAGCTCCTCTCGGGTCAGTGGGGGAAATCGGCTATCCTTAAGTGCACTGGAAAGACAGAAAATACAGGTGAAGTTGCTCAGTAATTATGAGCCAATCTCATGTACCACTGAGTCCAGATGGTTAGGAATGTTAAAACGCAGAGAACATCTATTATCTATTAACAATAACATGCTAAAACAACTGGATGCTAATAACTTACTAATTTATGATGTGATCAACAAATTAAAAAACCCTCTATTTCTAGACTATCAAAAAGAAGATGTTCCCCAAACAAAAATGGCAGTATGACTGGCTACTACAAAAATAAGCAAGTTGTTTGCCGGGAAGTCATCAAGGCAAGCAATCAAGTTCCTTCGGGACAAACCCCACTCTGAGACGGAACCTCAAAGGGAACACATGAGCAGGTATGTAAGCTTGCTGGCGACCACATTGGTCTACTGGTGAGTGGAAGAGGGGGAAAGGCAGCAATGAAGAAATGGATTGAGTTCAACCACGTTCCAAAGACTCTTGTTGACCTAGAGATGAGAGAGGAAGGGCTGATTGGTCCAAAGTGTGGTGAGACCTGGAGACACCTGAGCCCATGGGCAGGGACACAGCCACAGAAGGCTACAGCTGAGAGTGAAGTACCCAGCTGATATGAAATGAGGGGAGATGCACAAGAACACTCAAACTTGCAGGTAGTACCCATCTGACCTAGCCTCGGTGGCTTGATAATCAGAACTCTACTAGAGGAAGATAAAAAAATAAAAATTTTGATAAAGGAAACAAGGGTAAATTGCTACAATTTGATGAACTTGACCTATACTCATGGAGGCAGTAACTCTAAATACCAACAGAGAGGGAAGGAAGCTTCACATCAAGTATCAATGCTATCCCCTATGTACACAGGGTAGACACGGATGGGCAACTTAGACATTGGCTATCCAAAATGAAGGGGCAATAAAGGCACAAAGTGACTGGCTTAAAAAGTTTCAAGAGGGAGTTTAATTTAAGAGTGTGTGTGGGAAGACAGAGTCCCCACTGAATAGTTTTCATCTTGTCTAGATGGGTCTGGTAAAGAGATGGGGATAAGAATCTTATGATTCAGTAGTGACTAATTGTTATCATGACTAACTGTAACTGTCACAATTGTAAATGTAGAAGTTTTGTAACAAGAAGGGGGGAGTATTTAATCTTACAGTCCAGAAACAGAGGACCCTGGGACTATCAAGGGAGCAGAGCACAAACAGAATGCAGGACCTTATCCAGAGAAGCAGCAACACCAGAGATCGAGACAGAGATGGGGACATGGAGAAAGGGAGCAGATGAGGACTCTAGATTCATGGAAAGGGAGGGACTGAGAGCTGGTGACCAGGAGGCAGACTTGCAGAATGTGCCCTTTGGTGGTGTAAGTCATTATATATGCATGAGTGTTTTGTTTTGTTTTGAAAAAAGAGAGCTAAAGTGAATTGAGAGAAATACTGTTAACTGATGGTACAAGGAGGAGATTATAATCATCGTAATGAAATGAAATATATAATTTGTTGAATGTAAAACTGATGATCTGCCCTATAAACTTTCACTCAATTCACAAGAAAAACTTAAAAAATATCTGCAGTTCTGTTTGGCTGGTGTCATTACCTGGTTAACGTGTATTCCCTGAGTCCTGAGTGAAGATTCATGGCTGAGAAGGTCCCAATGCAACCACGAAGCCGCTTGTCACGCCCTGTCTTCCATGTGACAAAGAGCGGACTAAAACAAAACAAAATCCAGCCTCAAATTAATCATGTAGAAGAACAAAACCATTGGGTTTTGTCCCTGTTCATGTCTGTCATTCCCCAAGAGGATTGTTTTCTGAGTTGGTGGCTATCTGAAGGACTTTCTGCCTTTCTGTAGGCTGCACAGCCCCTGGTTGGAAAGAGATGAAAACTTTGCAGGAGGGCATGAAGAAAGGCTCTGAATGCTGCCTTTCCTATGCTCCATGTGGACAAATTCACTCTGATACAGATGTATGCACTATTTTCCACTTCTGTCCAGGACTTTACTTTTCCCTCTTTTACTTCTCCATGTTTTCCTCCTCTTCCTTATTCTCCTTTTATCACCATTCATATGTTCTAGCTCCATCCTTCATTATGACACAGTAGGCCTGGACACCTTCCCCCACTGTTCTCCACGATTATATTTAACCCTGGCAACTATAAATATGAGGGGGGTTTCAAAAAGTTCATGGAAAAATACATTATTTTTAATTCCATTTTTTCATAAACTTTTTGATGCCCTCTTATATCTCCTGCCACATAAATTTTCAGAAAAGAAAATCAATGTCTTCTCATGAAAGTTAATTAGCAGCACTTGCCAATTTCTGTTCTAGGTCAGTTGTGCTTGACTAGATTATGGTTGTTGCTGCCAGCTTTTTTGATAAGAGGTTACAGAGCTGTTCCCTCTTTCTAGATGTCCTGGCCCCCTCTATGTCCTTACTGTTTAGACTACGAAGTTAATGACTGCTAAAAATCAAGTTACATTCTAAAGTTATCTATAAAGACTCCCTGCAAATCTCCCAACTTTGTCTTTCTTCTCCAATAAAAGAGTAAATCAGTCAGAGTTACTGTCACTAAACCTAAGCAAAATCTCCTCGGGACTTGCACTGCCTTCTACTAAAGGGATGGAAACACAAACCCTTGAGTACATAGCCTGAACTTCACCTGCTGGGACCAGCATCTGTTCCCCATACTTGTGTCTCTGCACTGCATGAAATCCCGACCCCACTCATGCTCAGAATTCCCACTTGCTCAGCCAGGGATTTTCTGAACACAATATTCCATGGAAACACTCTCTTAAAATGTCATCTCAGTTTCTCTTCCCTGACATAACCAGATAGGAGTAACCACCCTTAGCACTGTATGCATGTGACTTGCCAACTCAATGACAAGTCACCCAAAAAGTAAGGAGTTATCCTTCATATGCTCTCCATACTTTGCTCAATACAAAGTTTCAGTATGGCATTCACAGGTGAGGAATGATCTTAGGTCAATAAACTTTTCAAAAGTGCCCCCTTAAAACAAAAAAAAAAAAACCCCAAAAGCATCAGTGCTCTTCAAATGCAATCTTCTATTACTCATCCCATGGGAATGACCTAAATATTGTCTAGACATTTCTCAGCATTCTATTCCTATAGGCACCAGACTGCAAAGTCGTTTGAACTACAAGACTGGTGGATTAAGCTCACCAGCTGCTCCTCAGAAACCCTATACAGGGTCGCTATGGGTCAGAATAGACTCGACAGCACTTAACAGCAACAATAGTAAACCCCTTTCAAGAGAACAGCCCAGAAAGATGGCATCGTGTCTTCTGAACTGTCCCCTATACCTGATTTACTTACTAGGGGTCATTTGTGAATCTAGGAAGCCGTGGCTGTGGGAAGCCATAAAGATGACAGTAGAGCACATCAAAGCAGTAGCAGCACATCTCCGCAGTTACCACCAGGTTCTTGGTGGTGTTGGCAGTTCCATTGGGCCGAGGGAGAGGACTCAGCGCTCCCGATGTGGGATTCATTCGTGTAATGGGAGAGTTTCCAGTCCCCAGAGTTAAGTCTGACACATTCTCTCGCCCACTGTTGCTGTCCACATGCTGGTGGTTTTGAAGAGGTCCTGAACTAGAACTGGGCACAGTTGTGGACTGATTCCCGTGGCTGTGTGTTCCGCTTCCAGATAATTTGGGCTTCTTGACCCCACAACAACCTGCTGCCAACTTGGGCTCGAGTGGAGGAACACAACGTCTTTTTCCCATCCTGATTCAGTGCTTGAGGTCTGGAATGCTGCAGAACCCTAACCAAAAACATAATATGAATGGTTAGTTAAAATGAAAAAAGGCAACAATAATAGCGGACAACGTTGAGAAGGGATAGCAAGTGGGATGGAATGGACATTGGAGCTATAGGGAGGAAGTGGGATAACTTTTGTTCCATAGAGGGCATTGCAATCATTGAAATCAAACAAAGTGTGTTATTTGTTGAATGTAAAACTAATAATCTTGTCTGTAAACCTTCACTCAACTAACAATAAAAAAGTTTAAAAATGAAAACCAAAGACAAAAAGTCTGTGTAGAGAGGGTGGTGGTGGTGGCAGCTATGTGCTGTGGAGTCAGTTGAAACACATAGTGACCCTGTTTTCGAGGCTGTAAATGTTTGTTTACAGGAGCAGAAAGCCTCATCTTTTCTCCCGTGGAATGGCTGGTAGTTTCAAACTGCTGACCTTGAGATTAGCAGCCCAACTCGTAACCACTATGCTACCAGAGCTCCTTATAGAGCTTGTTGTTGTTAAGTGCCGTCGAGTTGATTCCGATCCATAGCAACCCTGTATAGGGTTTCCAAGGAGTAGCTGGTGTAAGAATAGTCAAATTCTCTTTTCCATTCCCAAAACTCTAATTTACCTGGTAATAACAGGTCACAGACCAACAGAGACTCTGAATCCAGGGACTCCTAATCTTTCCTAAAGGGGGGCTGCTTCACCGGGCACCCCCTACCCCCAATACTTATGATCACCATGGATGAAGGCAGGCAACCCTTCTTATCAGAAGGAAGGGTAGGGTGGCAGTTAGTTGGCTAGAAGCCGGATAAGGACAGTTTAAAGACTGAATGGAAGACTGTCAGATTATCAGGCTGCCCTCTACTTCTTGTAGGGCTGAGATTGATTCTACTTTCAAAACTCTACAAGAACTTTCATACTTTACTGTCAACCACTTCTTTTCAGCAGTTTATCACTAACCTAACCTATGCAGTTTCAGCCCCAAACCCTAGTGAAGCTGGAAAACAGTTAGCTGTCATTCTCACAAAAGCTCACCTATAATACAAAACTCTCTCCATTCTGTCCTCACCGTTCTCATTCTCTAGTACCATACGCATTTTTGGTTCTCCTCTGAACTTACTCTAATTTCTAAATATGTCTCCATCCTTGCAAGATCCCATACATAAAAACTGCAACCTAGTATAAACCTTTGCTCACAAAAATGACTGAAGCCTCCCCAGTCCTTTTGTGAGGTAGCCACCATTTCTGCACTGTCACAGCAAGGCAAACAGATACAAAGTCAAACACACACACACAAAGAATTACCTTACCCCAACTTTTCATTGTGGTTTAGATATGTAAAACATAATTGCTTGTTTAAGCATTGCTCTACCACATAAGATTCAGCTATAAAGTCTACAATATTTAAAATAGATCTGAATACCCATTTGCAAAGTCAATATTTAAACTAAAACAACTTGTAATTTTAAGGTGATAAAACAACAAAACACCCATGGCTGCAATCTGTTGATTTCAACTCATGGCAGCTCCATGTGTTACACAGTAGAACTGTGCTCCACAGAGTTTCTTTGGCTGTAATCTTTATGAAAGCAAACTGCCAGATCTTTCTTCTATGGTGCTGATGGGTGAGTTCACACTGCCAACATTTAGGTTAGTTGTTGTTGTTGTTATGTGCCATAGAGTCAGTTCCGACTCATAGCGACCCTGTACAGGGTTTCTGAGGCTGTAAATCTTTATGGGAGCAGAAAGCCTCATTTTTCTCCCACGGAACAGTTGGTAGTTTCATACTGCTGAGTGCAAACCTTTTGTGTCATCTTTTAGGTTGAAAGGGATGGAATAAATTCATAATTCTTTGTTAATATTCTTCATATGTGCTGATCGATTACAAAATACACACATCTGACAATTCTGAGTCAGATGAAGGATGTGTGTAGCTGAAGAATAACAGCTTGCATACTTCAATGTCTAGTTTGAAAAAGTCTTCTTTTTGACAAAACAGTGTATTCAACACAAAACTTTTAATGAGTAGGTTACTTTTTAGCATGATGTTAGTGTTACGTTTACCATTAAGAAAGAGACCACATGTATTTGTCAAAAGTGCTGCATCCAGATGATCTATGTTCAAACCATGGTTCCTCAATGATTAATCTACAACTCAGTTTCTTCAAAATGAGAACAGAACTTATCTCATGAGATAGCTATGAGAATTCAATGAGTTTAACATATGTAAAGTGCTTGGTACATAGTAAGTACCGATATGTTGAACTGCTCTTGGTAGACTGTTTTCACTAGAATGGAAGTTTCCTTGAGAACCTGGACTTGACTATGTACTCAATGCCTGCATAAAGTTAAATGTTCTTCAAACATGGTTTCACTGAATCCCTTAGCCAAGGCAGATAATGTAGCCATAATTACACAGATAAAGGACCTCAGGCTTATAAAGCAAGAAAACCTTCAGAGCTAGATTTTGGACCACAATGTATCTCAGATTCTAAGGCCTGGGCAGTCCCACCAAGCCTCGAGGAAGAATGAGGCCTGCCCATAATATCTATTGGATTCAATACCTTTCCTAAGAGTACACTGATAATAAACCTAACATGTGATAGAATCTTCCCAACCTATCAGCAGGGAGTATTTGCAAAATGGAAATGTTTCACACTTGGTAAAAGGAGCTTTCATAGTGCCTTCCTGACAGAACACTTTTGAAGACAAAATGGACAGGTGCTCAAGAATTGTAAGCTGCAAGCAGGTGATGGTATATGGAATAGGAAGGCCCTGTTAAATGAATCAGCAGGACTATCTCAAGAGGTGGAATTTACAGGGACCAACAGGGTCTCATTGGAAAGAATCAGAGATAAGAGATGAAACACAAAGGTTAAAAAATAAATCTCTCTTCACTCCCATTACCACGCTGTCAAACCACACCTGAAAGACAACCTAAATATCATTGGATGGCAGCACCAACTCCAAGGTTCCTTAGCAGATGGTTCTAATGATCCAACAACAGAGCAATAGAAGCTACTTTAAAGTGTGAGAAGACAAATAAATTTAAGTCTATGAGACGCAGCCTACACACCATAAACAATCTGCAGTGGACATAATCATAAATAATGTCAAGTGGTTACACTTTAACAATCCCCTGGTGATGGTGGGTTATGTGCTGTGTAGTCGGTTCTGACTCATAGCAACCCTGCATAAGATTTCCAAGGCTGTAAATCTTTACGGGAGCAGAAAGCCTCTTCTTTTCCCCGTGGACCGGCTAGTAGTTTCAAACTGCTGACCCTGAGGTTAGCAGCCCGACTCGTAACCACTATGCTACCAGAACTTCTTAATAATCCCCTACACCATTTCAAAAAACGATTTGAAATAAATAGAACAATCCAAAATCTTAAGGTTATTTAGGTCAAACATTTCTCTGGAGGTCACTAGGTAAACAATTTAATTTATAGTATCAATTGGCGATCAAAGGCAACATTATTTCATCAAAAACACTCAAGGACAAAACAAAACCAAACAAACACAAAATATTCAAACAAACAAAAAAATAAGGGTTTTCAAAAAGTTCATGAAAAAATTTCATGACCTTTCAATTCCATGTATCCAGTTTTAAAGAAAGCCCCCTCGTATATTAGGAGAGTATACAAATAACTCATACATTTAGACAATTGATTTTTGACCATTTAATGGGAAAACATTTTTCTTCCACAAATAGTGCTGAAACAGCAGAACATCCACATGCCAAAAAGTAAATCTGTACCCCTATGTCATATCATATATAAAAAGCAATAAAAAAAAAACAAAAAACCCCCTCAAAATGGTGTAATGATCTAAATACAAGTGCTAACCCCACAAATTTATTAGAAGAAAAACATAGGGGTAAATCTTCATAACCTTGAATATGACAAGTCTTAGTTATACCACCAAATGCATGTGTAATGAAAGAAAAAAAAATTGGATAATATCAAAGTAAGAAATCTATACATTAAAGGACATTATCAAGAAAATGAAAAGACAACCTAGTGATTGTGAAAAAATATTTGCAAATCTGACAAGGGTCTATTACCCAAGCCAGAATATATAAATAACTTTTTTATAAGGACAAAAAAAAAAAAAAAAAAAGGCTTTACTTAGATAGTTGTTGTTGTTAAGTGCCGTCAAGTCAGTCTGGCGAATTAACCCACAGCGCTACACTAACTTATTACCAACTTCAACATGTTTCTTGACATCATCCAAGAGTTTGGTTCCATTTAAATGTACCACTAGCCTCAGACTATGGCTGAATAGAAATATGGTTTCCAGTCTTTCTCAAATTCCCACTAGGAGTCTAGGCAAGATGCTACATCTGTAACTTTGTAGCCCCAAGTAGCTTACTACTAACAGTGCTGTGTAACTCTGGAGGCTTTTTACTGATATCCCCAAGTATGAACTTCTCCTACGACAGATTGTAAAGAACAACACAAAAATAAACAATTTAACTGAAAAATGAGAAAAGGCATGAGACCATAAGAACTGGATGGTGCCTGGGTGGTTACTGAATTTTCTGATCAAGGATTCTGTAGGTGAATCCTCATATTAAAATGGGGTACAACAGAACAGAATCTCAAATTCTCTTAAAATCTAGATTTCCTGGGATAAACGTCTGGAATTACTGCTCTGAGATAATCTTTGAACCTTAAACAAAAAATATCTCCTGAAGTCTTCTTAAAAGCAAACAATTGTTTGTTTAGCTTAATAGTAAAAAATGTCAGCCCTGAGTATTATATGCTTTCAAGATCTATCTATATGGGATCACTGACAACAGCAACTCAAAAGACTGCTGTGTGTATTCTTAACAACAAAATTATTAAAAAGAAAAATGGGCAATGAACTTAACAACAAAATTATTAAAAAGAAAAATGGGCAATGAACTTAACAACAAAATTATTAAAAAGAAAAATGGGCAAAAATTATCCAAAGAGGTATAATAAACTCCTAGGACACAAAAACAAATGTGTAGTAGTATAAGCACTGAATTGCTAATC